CTCTGCAAGATTAATTTTTTTTATGGAGAAAGTTAATTACTCGCACGCAAATTCCTGATTGTCAGAACGCTCTTATTATCAGCGAGCGTTTGAGTTTATTCTAGACCAGAAAAAAGACTTTTCTCATGAATGCGAAAAAAGTGTCCTCCCAAGGATCCGAACCTCTCGAAAGGTCTATCAGTGATACGTGTTGCTGCTCCTCACAATCTTTGCGGCTCTGATATCAGGAACGCGGACGTCAGCGCCGCGAGAGCAGCGACTGCTGGTACGGGTACGTGCTGAAAAGGCCTGAGGACCACCCAATAGGGAAGGCATTGGGATTAAGTAGAGGGCAAGCGACCACAAGGAGCCCTAAAGAAAAGATGGAGGGACGACATCAGGAAGGACATCACTGGAGGGAAGGCAATGGCAGAAGATGCAGTGGATTGGAACAAGTGGCGACGTATAACAAGCACAGTGGACCCTGCGACGGCGCGGGACTAACGCTGGGGAGAAGAAGATTGTGCTCAAAGGGACTTCACGGCTATTCATCCAAATTGGCTAGCAACCGCGCTCGACTCTTTGTCTCTTCATTTGAATTATGACAAACTTTCATATTCATTTCAGATAACGTTCTGCGAATTTCGAAGGCACTGATAAAATCAGCGTTCAAACACGTTCCGTGATATGTCTTTACAAATGGCCACTTCGGCCTGGCGACCATTCCTAGTCAGTTGCCCGGGGAAGGGGATGTATTGTGCGCCTCAAATTAGGAAGCTCAACAAAATTTCATGGAAGCCAAGAACATCGTTGCTCTGTTCGAACCGAACTCGTTAGGAGTGTTCCGTTGCGATTAGTAAGGGCTCACTGAGAGGATATGCTGCCGGACGTGAGCTCTGTGCTTCCCTTGTGATGCACTTCAATGGTCACTGTTGAACTGTGCAGTCTTCTCGAGAAAGTCACGGTCGAAACGCAGGAATCAGCAGTAGAGATCCGATGTCTGTACGTGGTGAATGATCCACAGCTATTCAAAAGTTCTCTATCTACATTTCCGTTCAAAATCGCCTCATATGCATTTGACGCATGTTTTACTCTATAACTCGCTCTGAAAATGAGCGCAAGGCTAGCTCGGCGAAGCTATGCCAGCACACAAGTAGCACGGCGTCAGCTGGGCGATCTGACTGGTCTACTAATCCGGCAGCTCAACAATACAAGACTCGCTCGTAAAGAGGTGGACATCGTCCACCTGATCGTCGCAAAGACGAACATTCATTTCTAGTGGTAGCCTGATGGTGCGGTCGTCCCGCTAATAACTCTCTCCACTCCAAATGGGAAGAGTGAGGTGGTAAGGGCATATAGCTGAACCAGCACGTGAGAACCCTTGAGCCCGCGCCTCATCATCTTATGCATGTCAAACGTTGGTGCGGCCGGAAGTTCTAAGGCATTTTCCATGAAATTTTTTGCTTTTTTCTTCACTTTCACTTGTAAGCACCTGCTGCGTTTTTATTACTATATGAGCCGCATCCCCAACAAATCCTATCCGCAGCCTCATCGTGGCGTGGGGGTGAACGGTTTCGGACTGTTCCAAAAACGTACCAATGCGGAGGGTGCCACGTCAGAGCCTGGCGAGCTACGCGTGGTCAAATTTCTTCTCGCCGAAAACAGTAACAATCATGGGCCTCATTTCCCTGAACCTGAGGGGACCACCAACAGGGCTACGTCGGCTGGGACCGCTCGGGCGAGGCTGCTAAAATCACAGGGCCAACGGAGATTGTCGCCCAGGACCAGGATGACGATCTGTACTTTCAACGTAAAGACGCTTGCATCGGAAGCTCACATCGTAGATCTGATGTTGCAAGCCAGGAAGATCAAGTACGACGTCATCGGACTGACCGAGTCGAGGAGGCATCGCCCGCTACACGCCGTATACGAGACTGGAGAAGAACTGTTCCTCGCAACATGTGACAGCAGAGGCGTTGGCGGCGAGGACGTCCTCGTCAACACGCACTTGGCCATGAACATCGATTCGTGCGAAAATCTGACGACCCGATCGGGCGTTTGCGATTGAGAAAATGTGGTTCAACTTCGGCTTTACCAGTTTTCGTCGCCTACGCACCAACATCAAGCTACGACAAGGATGAGCTTGAAGCGTTCTATATGGAATTAGAGAAGTTCTACAAGGGAGATGACACCTTCTTCAAGGTCATCGTCGGTGATTTCAACCTTAAGATCAGACCAAGAAGGACGGCTGAAAGACTTCACATCGAAACTCACAGAACGGAGTGGAATGAGCAGGGTGAAAGGCTGTCTGAAGTTTATCATGTCCGACCCATACCATCCATGGTAACTCGCAGTTCCAGAAGCCCTACCATCTACGCTGGACATGGGAGTCTCCTGGTGGACAATTCCATAAACGAGAGTCGACCACATCATCTGCAATAGAAGGTTTTGCCTGACCGATGTCGCTGTTGTCCCTAAGTTCTACACGGGATCCGACCATCGTCTCCTTCGCGCAAGATTCCGCTTCTCGATGCGAGGAGAGAGAGCCGCGAAGTTCAAGAAGCGAAGCCCCAAGACCTTCATCAACTGGGATCACTTCACTTCTCTCGCTGGGCTCTGTCATCGACAACATCGATGAGGAATACGAACAGCTTGTTGCACATCCTCACGACTGCGCCAAGAAGTCAAAGGGTTGCAAGATTACCAAGAAGCGTCTATCTCCGGATACTCTCGAGCTGATTCGCCAACGTGGAGCCGCAAGAGCCGCAGGCAATTACCAGCTGACATCTGAGCTTGCGAAACTATGCAGAGGAGCGATAAAGGAAGACCTCAAGGAGAGAAGAGCAGCAGTACTGGTGAAGCCGCAGAGGCTGGGAAGAGCATACGCAACGCGCGCCGCAGCTTCACCAACTGTAAGACCAAGATGACCCCCCTTCGACGTCCGGATGGAACAAACACCGCATCCAGAAAGGCAATGGCGAAGGTCATCCACGACTTCTACTCGGATCTCTTTGACAGCCACGTTACCTGCAACCATACAGCTTGGAGCAGGATGGATATGTCGTTCCTGCAGTTCTCTCTTCCGAAGTCTGACACGCCATCTCGTCGGTGAAGAATCGTACGGCACCCGGTCCCGACAGGATCAGACCCGAACATCTCAAGAATCTTCCGCCAGTTTTCGTCGGCTCTGGCTCGACTCTTTACGCGCTACCTGTCGGAATGCAAGGTACCCACCTCGTGGAAAACCAGCAAGACTGTGTTGCTGTACAAGAAGGGAAACCTGTACGACATTGGCAATTATCGCCCAATCTGCCTGCTGTCTGTAGTCTACAAATTCTTCACATGAGTCATCCTTAACAGAATTGGAAGAACACTGAATGAAGGACAGCCATGCGAGCAAGCAGGGTTTCGAAGAGGATTCAGCACGATTGATCACCTCAACACGGTAATGAAGCTCATTGAAGTATCGCGAGAGTACAAGATGCCGTTATTTCTCACGTTCATCGGCTTGAAGAAAGCCTTCGATTCCGTTGAGACAGAAGCGGTTATTGAAGCCCTGGGCAACCAGGGTATTCCTACTCAGTACATCAGGATTCTTCGTGAGCTCTACAGCAACTTCACGACCAAGATCTCTCCATCCTACAAGGAGATCATCATTGATGTGAGGAGAGGGGTCCGACAGGGCGACACCATCTCGCCCAAGCTCTTCAGCGCCTCTCTCTAGAACGTCATGCGTCAACTGGAATGGGAAGACACTTTGCTGACGACATCGTTTTGATAATATCAAACATCGAGCAAGCGGAAAGAATGCTGGCTGAATTCGACTGCGCGTGTGGAGGAATCGGTCCACGGCTGATTCTAACGAAGACGATATTTACGAGAAACGGATTGGTATCTGATGCCCCATTCACGCTCAACGGAACGAACATCTTTGAATGTTCTAGCTATGTGTACCTAGGTCGTGGATTCAATATGATGAATGACCTAGCTCCAGAGCTGAGCGTTGAAGCGAGCGGCTTGGGGAGCCCTCAAGAATATCGAGGGAGTAGCGAAGAAGACGAAGAACACTAAGCTCCGTGCCCACCTCCTCGATTCCGCGGTCCTTTCTGCTTTGACGCAGCCTTAGGGAATTGGACTCTACGAAAGCAGGATGAGCGTGCGGTCGGCGTTATTCAACGCGCCATCGAAAGGGCGATGCTCGGAGTTTCCGCTACGCAAGTGAAAGAGGGAATCCGGAGCTCTGCACTCCGCCAACGATCGAAGATCAGAGACGCCGCCGCTTTTGCCAAGGTTCCGAAGATCAGGTGGGCCGGACACTCAGCGTTTTGAGGACAACCGCTGGACCACAGCAGTCACCGAGTGAAATCCACGGGATGTCAAGCGAACGCTGGACGACCACCTACGCGATGGTCAGACTTCTTCGTGAAAGCTCTGAGCGAACGGCATGAAGTTCATCGTGTCCTCGAGCTGAGAGAGTTCATTGGGCAACTCTTGCACGTTGCAGGGACGAATGGAGACGTTACTGGCGCCCGCTCAAGGTATTCGATGACCAACGGGAGCACAGGTGATACAGGTGATGAGCCGCATCACTCGCTATCTTCGGAAGGAGGCCTAGCTTCCGAGGGCATCTTCGCCTATCTTGACTGTCGGTTTACCTTACACGTGGCACTCGTGTTGGAGCTCCTGTACCTGAAAAATGATAGCAAAGTTCTTCTTTGGGCATATGGGAAAATCTGCGCGAACGGATTTAGTTACACATCGGGTGAAAACCATGTCCAACAGAGGGATGGATGTCTCGCCAGTGCCACGTCGATGATAAGGAATCAATCATTTCGAGTTCGAGCTATTCCGCCGTGTTTTCTCTGGTTTGATTTCAGGATTATACAATCCAGCGGTGCTGTCCTATGCGTTTATTCACTTTTTCGATTCGATAATAACAATCCCTTTTGCGGATTCTCCATCCGAGTAGTGACAAGTTGATTAAGGTGTGCCTGATGGCAAGTACAGTCGTAATTTCCGTTTCAATCCCTATTGTTCCCTTCTCCGAATCCGCAAAAATCTGTGAATGTAGCTAAAGCATCAGTGAGAACAAAAAAACGATTTGCTACTGTTGTGTTAACGGTATTTTATGGTTTGATAACCTATTATTTTGTTCATGTCCGCTTGGGAATGGATGGTCATCAGGTAAGAACCTTCTCTCCGACAGTACTCTTGAGCGTTCTCGTAACTGACGTCGCCAGAACCAATTGTTGAAACACTCACGATCTGGAAGTGACAGCGATGCAAGAGATCATTGCTGCAGAGCGTAAACAGACTGTTAAAATTTTGTCTTTGATTTGACTTACCTTGAGAAATCTGTCATCTTCATCATATGGAAGAGAGAACCATTCGCCGTTTTTGGCTTTCTGGATGGTTTTCGCATCGATCGCAGCGGACACTTCTGCAGAAAGGATCGCCATCGCTAGCATCAGGCAGAAAACATGGAACGACGGAAACATCCTGTCGGAGCTCAGCGAAATGGTTCTCATCTTACTGATCGAGCTTATATAGCGTTCCTTATCGCGCTTGTTATCACTTTGCAATGAATCATTTTCAGCTAGCTAGTGCTCTACCGTCGGTAGCTCAACTACAAAGCTCACAACAAAGCTCACGACTGGCATCCGTTGGCAGTCAGGTGAAGCGTTCAAAATATTGATGTCACCTTGCTAATTAACTGAAAAGTGGGAAAAGCGAAAACAGCCAAAATATACTGAATACAGCGTAACACTAGTCAAGGATGCCGCGTAAGCCAAGAGGCAAGAGTGAAGCTGGAGATCAGTAATGTTCATTGTTTCTGATATTACTGCTTTACCAAGTTCCCTCCAAATAGGTAATAGAAGCTCGCTTGCGATATGTATTCATTGCATGTGCGGAGCTAGAGGTGCACCATTTGCCGAATGGTAATGGCTTCTCTGTCCGAATATACAGGACACCAGTCGGATCACCCGACTGCCGCTGGGTGCTCCTCCTTCTTTGTCACGGCCCGGCTTCGCCGGGCCGGCCTGGCTTCGCCAGGCACTTTTCTCAGGCGAAATAGAGTGTGCAAAATACGCCTGACCGTCACAGTGCATTTTCCAGCTGAATGTAGAAAAATAATTGAAAATAACTCGAGCAATGGGTTAAAGTTGAATATGGCCAGAGGATCGTGCAACATACAGCGCTTCGTTACTTCCGAAATTCTAGTGACATCAAAAGAAAGAGCCTGACGCCCCTTATCCAATCTTATCAGATGCTGGCAGTTTTTGTCACCAACCTAGTGTTCCTTTCCTAAACCCTACATGGTATCTAGGAACCAACCTCCTACTGTTGCTGTGACTCGCGTGATGGACTCAGTGACCATACCCTTCTAACATCCCTCGAATCTTATCAGCAGCTGACATCTTGTCGTCCACCAATAAGATTCGCTTTTCCATACCCTACATCGTATGTTGGAATCAACACCTGGCTGAGGCTGTGACCCGCATTAAGAATATGGTGAGAGTTCCATTCTGAGTCCTGCAGAATGTAAATTTCTGGCGAGTATTGGGCATGCTCACAATGTGTTGAGATCCGCCCACAGTGGGCGGAGCTTGCCCTAAACCGCAGGATACTCATTTTAAAAGTTCGTAGCTCGCTTCCAGAGCACTGCAACGACCGGAAAAACGTGGGTTAAGGTCGGCAAAGGTTCGCCGGTGAGGACTGTGGGGCGCAAACATTGTGGGCGGGGCCTGCTCCGGTTTGGGCGGAGTCAGACGAAGAATCTGTAAAATAGTTTCAGAGCACTCCAGACACGGAAAAAAGTGGATTAAGGTCAGCAGGGGGTTGCCGATTGAGAAATGTGGGGTGTACATCTTGTGGGCGGGGCCAGCACTAGGTGGGCGGAGCCAGACGAAAATTCTCTAAAACTGTTCCAGAGCACTCCGAAGACCGGAAAAAGGTGGATTAAGGTCAGCAGAGGGTTGCCAGTGAGGACCGTGGGGCAAAAACGTTGAGGGCGGAGCCTGCTCCGAGGTGGGCGGAGCCAAACAAAAAGGTCTGTAAAACGCTTCAGAGCACTCCGGAGACCGGAATCAAGTGAGTTCAGGTCAGCAAGGGGTTGCCGATTAAGAAATGTGGGGCATACATATTGTGGGCGGGGCCAGCCCGAGGTGGGCGAAGCCAGACGAAAATCCTCTAAAACTGTCCCAGAGCACTTCAAAGACCGGAAGAAAACGTGGATTAAGGTCAGCAGAGGGTCGCCGGTGAGGACTGTGGGGCATAAAAGTTGAGGGCGGAGCCTGTTTCTCGGTGGGCGGAGCCAGACAAAAATTCTGCAGAACGGTTCAGAACACTTCAGACACCGGAAAAAAGTGGATTAAGGTGGGCAGAGGGTCGCCGGTGAAGAGCGTGGGGCACAAAAATTGCGGGGCGGGGTCTTCTCTGAGGTGGGCGGAGTCAGACGAAGAATCTGTAAATAGCTCAAGAGTACTTCAGACACCGGAGAAAAGTGGAGTACAGAACAAAAGGCGGACATCAGTTGAGTCTCGAATCCGGGCCGTATCAGAAGGAGCCGCGCCCGGCGTACAGCCGGCGAGGCGACTGGTATAAATTATATGGCTAGAATTGTAACCGTATGTTCCAATGTGTAACGCTGAATCTATCCTTGTCCTTTTCTTTTCTCAGGTTTCGTACAAAAAATCTCCATAACCATTCACACGGAAAATCAGTATACTTGTAGAAGAGCAGCCCTCGAAGCATCCTACCGCCCAATGCGTCCTCCACCACTGTTGGGGTTTTTTTTTCTGGAATGCTCTCCAGCATTCGGCAGTCCTGCGCTTCGAATGGTCCTCTCTCGGGTTGTTGATGGAAGATAATCATGGTCATAGTGGTGAAGTTAGTTGCTGCAGTTCAGGAACTGTGTAAACAACCGTCCTGCAACTGAACTCCAGTTGCTTCAGCGGCCGTACATGATGTCGATATCGGTAAGAGCATAGGAGTGAGTTGTGTACGAACTACTGAGAGCCTGATACCTGTCATATCAATCGCATTGTGGCAGTAAGCGGTGTTGCGGATTCCCGCTGATGACGCTTTCGACCCTTATCAGTTGCTGTTACTTAATGTCACCGTCAGTGGGTTACCGCCCTCCTCCCCCTATACCACTTCTTTGAACCAAGGTCCCACAGACCCTGCAACCTGCCCTACAAAGTTAGTGACCCTCCGCATCTAAGGCCCCTTATCGAATCTTATCAGATGTTATCAGCTTCTGTCCCACACCAATCATGTCCACTTCCCTTACCCTATACCATATCTTGAAATGAAGGTCCCACGGTCGCTGCAACCTGCGCTAAGAATTTGGTGACACCCGCTTGTAGGGTCTCTTATCGGATCTTATCAGATGTTATCAGCTCCTGTCAGCCACCACCCTACCGTGCATATCACTTCTTGAAATCACGGTCCCGCAGCTGCTGCAGCTCGCGCTACGATTTCGGTCGCCCTCCCCTTCTGAGGCCCGTTATCGAATCTTATCTCACCTCCTGTCACCCGTGTTCCCGTCCTGCCTTGTATATCACTTCTTGGAACTGTCATCCTATCATTTCTGCAACGCTCGCTATAGTGTAGTTCGCTGCGGACGGTTGGGCGTGTCAGTGCGGCCGCGTTTGGAGCGATGCCAAACTCGTTCTTCACCAGTTGTTGAAGCGAAAAAGTGACAATATTGTATCATATACTGCGTATTACTCGTATTCTACCACTTTTTGTAGCATGCGTCCTCAAAAAGAAGGCAGAAAACGGCTTTGATAGGGTGACACACTCATACTGGCTGACACGCCCAACTGTCCGCAAAGAAGTATAGTGTATGCACGGACATAGCGGATTATATGTAGCAGCATTTTGAATGATAAGTCTTCCATTGGCTTTCGTTAGCTATGCAGATGAACTACATTCGCTCTTACAAAGGTTGTTTCATTTCGCAAAGTCTGAACGCGCGTCAACACGCGTAAGTTGAGCTATTTCAAACTGAGTTGGAAGCCGGGTGTTTGCTTTCATACAATGGTGCCACGTGTAAGCTCATACGAAAGCCCAATCTCTGATGGGACAATTAGCCGTAACATTGACACACTTGCGGCTCCATACTCAAGCCCAGTCATTGTCTGTGTATAACTCACGACACCCTATATAGACTGATGACGAGTGATATTCGCTCTTTTTCTCATAACTACCCAGTCGATACGTTGTGTTGTCGTGCTTTCTCTGTTGGCAGTGAGAATTCATACCATATTTGCTTCCCCATTATGACCGAATATATATTACCGGTTGGCGTGCACTATACTTGCGTATTCACATCTCAAAACATTACCCTAAATTCAGCACTACACAGTCATGACGCTGGGTTCTGCGTAGAATCTCGCTAGGGCGCATCCTTCCTTTCTTCAAATACGCCCTTCAACTAATGCTTTCTGTAGTCCGGTGGGTTCTTATCAAAGCACTCTACGTTATCAGGCGTAATTCCACAACCCATCCCAGCCCAGTGCCAAATACTTCGACTACCCTGACTCACTGTCAGCGGTTTCAACGTCTAGCGTGCCAAGATAGCCGTGAGGTACCAATGGCTCAAGACACAGCAAAGGTGTTGCTTATATAAAGTCCACGGTATTGTTCACATCCGAACAATCACCATAGCTGATGGCACATATCCTATGGGGAATGCATTCAACTCTGCGGAGGCGGTTGACCTTACCTTTCTTCTAAACTAGTCCGCTTTCACGTAATGACCTTTGGCCACTCGCCCTTTGCTCCTCATCGCCGTACGTGCCCATGACACCGCACTCAAGCAGCTTTCAACACGCAAAGCAGCCTTTTAACCTTCACTTCCTCGCCCATTTGCCTCCCTGCCCCTTCCCGTCTCGCTCCCTACCTTATTCTCCTAATGAAGCAGCCCCTGCCACCCAGCCCCCGACTTACTTACAGGGAGGGGGGGCAAAAAAAAAAAAACTCATTATCGGCGAGCCACAATAATCCAACGAAGTTTCGATAGCCCAGACAGGGGAAGTGGAATATGAAGCACCAGGTGGAAGGATACCTAAGATCTTACCTCCTATAGCTGGAGCACGGCTGCGCAATCGCCTTCACGATAACGCCAACAATACTGACGAGTCATCTCTCAGTCGGGCCTGATGAACACCTTTGGATTCACCCGTGCCTCCAAACAGAGGCTGCGAAACTTCTTGAATGAAGCATCCACCACGACTAGCTACCTGGAGACCAGTACTCTCATTCTGGATGACCCCCAACATCGAGCAGCTACGGCAACGTCGCTACGGTCTAGGACATCATTTTCACCGTACTCGCCGAGGCGCGAGTCGATGGTATGGACCGGGTACCTGGAAAGGGGAAGACCGATATTTTCTTTGTAGACCCCGACTGAAGGTGAGCGCTGGCGGTTACATCCAGTAACTCGAGAGGAATATCCTCCCTGCATGTGGTTGCCCGTACCTTCTTGGAGACCTTGTGCTGCTACAGGTTTGGGTGCCAC